AGAGAGGCAGAAAGTCATGGTGCAATCATCAGAAAGGGTTTGGATCTGGTTTGGATTTTTTATTTTTTTATTTGATTAATTTTTGGCAATGCTAGATTCAAACATAGAGCTTTGTGCATGCTGGGCAAGTCTTCTATCACATTCCCAGCCCTCTGGTTCAGATTATGATAAATTCATTCTGGCTACAGTTCAGAGCATGGCTTAACAGGAGACCAGAGTGGCTCTAGCAAAGGCAGGATGCTGGTGGTATGCGTTTTGGTGAGACCTAGTTCAGACAAGTTCAGAGAACACAAGTTATAAATATTACCAATCAAATCGAACAAAAACTAATGGAGGCCAGGCACCAGTGGCTCATGCCTATAATCCTAGCTTCTCAGAAGGCTGTGATCTGAGGATCACCATTCAAAGCCATCCAGGTAGAAAAGTCCATGAGATGTTTATCTCCATCAGAAAACTGGAAGTGGCACTGTGGCTCAAAGTGGCAGTGTTAGTCTTGAGTAAAAAACTTAGGGATAGCGCCTAGGCTCTGAGTTCAAGCCCCATGACTTGCCAAAAAATAAAAAAAAAAAGTAATAGAAAATGTATACCCAACACACACACACACACACACACACACACACATACACACACACATTGCAACTTTTGTGTGGGTGTGTACTAGGGCTTGAACTCGAAGCTTTTGCTTGGCTTTTTCTGGTCAAGGTTAATGTTCTACGTCTCTATTCTTGGCTGGCTAGCTGGAGATACAAGCCATTCCAATTTGTCTGCTTAGGTTGGCTTTGAACTGCAAGCTTCAGATCTCAGCCTACTGAGTAACTAGGATTATAGGCTTGAGTCACTAGCACCTAGCATCCCACAGCCTTCTTATCCAAAACAACTATGGTTTTATTCCTTGGAAAGCACAGCAAACAAGAACAAATTCTTTTAAATCTGACCCCAAAATTTCCCTTGTACCTTGAGGCACAAAACAGGGAACCAATTCCTGCTATTCTCTAGGTAGAAAAACACTGAGCAGCCTAAAGCCCTGGTCTGCAGAGTATGACAATTTCCATTCTCATTAACCAGGAAATAAACATATAAACACTTCTATCTCCCTTTTAATTAGTAAAACACTAGGCATAACACTACTTCTAGAACTATACAAGAAACATCTTGGATGTGTGTGTGTGTGTGTGTTTGTGTGTGTGTGTACATGCACTGGTATTGGGGCTTGGAACTGGGGGTGGGGGGTGGGGAGGGACAGTACTAGGTCTTGAACTCAGCCTAAGTGCTGTCCCTTAGCTTTTTCACACAACAAGGCACATGCTAAACTACTTGAACCATACCTCCACATCTAACTTTTATATGGTTAACTGGAGGTAAGAGTCTCATGGACTTTCCTACCTGTGCTGGCTTTGAACCTCAGTCTTCATATATCAGCCTGAGTAGCTAGGATTAAAGGTGTGAGCCACTAGTGCCTGATTGAACTTATTTTTAATTATTACCTATTCTAGAACAAGTCTAGGGAAAAAGTTAAATTTTCTTCTCTGATCCACAGGGATATTATCAATCATTTTAAGAAATTCTCAGCACTGACATACAAAAAAATGAAGTTAAAATATTTTAATGTTATGGCCAGGTGTAAGAAAAGCTAACATAATGTTAAGTTCTTTTATGGACTTTTACAACTTAGATAAAGCACTATAACCTCAACCTATGGTAAAGACTCTGGAGAGGAGGGAAAAACTGGGAGAGATAAGGGAAGGGGTAACATTGCCACAAAGAAATGTATTCACTACCTGAATTATGTAACTGTAATAACCTTCTGTACATCACTTTTATAATAATAAAATTTATTTTATTTTATTTTAGTCGGTCATGGGGCTTGAATTCTGGGCCTGGGCACTGTCCCTCAGCTCTTCAGCTCAAGGCAAGCGCTCTACCACTTGAGCTACAGCGCCACTTCCGGTTTTCTGGTGGTTTGTTGGAGATAGGAGTCTCACGGTCTCTCCTGCCCGGGCTGGCTTTGAACCGCGATCCTCAGATCTCAGCCTCCTGAGTAGCT